AACTGAAATTAATCATTCATTCAAGCACACTACTAGAATTTCTCTTATTACATGCAACTTTTTCTGCAAATTTTTTATAAAAATTCGCAGGAAACGTTGTTCCTGCAAATTTTTCTGCGAAATTTTATCTACAGGTAATACCTTCGTGGATAATATTTTTTTACAAATTTTAAAATTCGCAGGAAAATTTCCTGCGAAATTTCTTGCGAAAAAAATTCGCAGGAAAGTTTCTTGCTGTTCTTACCAGAGATCTGCCGTAGGGATGATCCTCCAAGTAAGATCGATGAGCCTCCTTCACTGGTACGTTGATGCTCCAAGATGGGGGTGGTACCTGCAAAAGAGACTCCGATGCCAAAGTTAGGGTTTGTATGAGTATGAGTCTCGTATATGTAATGCACGTACCTTAGTGTGATTTAGGGTTGCTTTGGGCCTTGGGCCTGAGATAAGATATAACGTGATTAGATAACGGATCTCATCTGGGACGAGATCCTCGGGAATCAATTACGATTCACTTAAATGCCGAGCTGACGTCGCCTGGCGCGTGCCCGAGGTCATCTTGCGCTGTGATGCCGAGCTCGGAGCTCGGTTTCGCAGTACGGATAGTACACTAGCCCTTCGAGCTCTGAAGACCGTAGGTCAAGGAGTTAAGACCGAGCTCGCTGGGGGAAAGTGACCTTTCGCGTACGTTTGTTCGTTGGGGCGCTATGTGTCACAACTGTTCATTTCCTATAGATGTGCGAGTGGCGCGTTAAGGGAAATGACGGTTATGTAATGATGGTCTTGCAATTAATGTGTTGTCTGGGTTTGAGTGGATTGTTGATGCAAGAAGGAAAGCTATTAGCTTATATTTCTAGGTGTCTAGGTATGGAAAATTCATGAGAAAAAAAAATTACCTTACCCATAACCTTGAATTAGAGATTGTAATATTTGCACTTAAGATTTTGGAGACATTACTGGTATAATTCTAAGTTTGAGATATTTAGTAATCATAAGGATCTTACATATCTATTTGATCCAAAGGAGTTGAATATGAGACAGAAGAGATAGTTGAAAACTGTTAAGGATTAAGATTTTAATCTTAATTGTTATTTGGAAAAAGCCAATGTGGTGGTCGATACTTTGAGTAGGAAACCTCTATATACGTCTCCCCTTATGGTTAAAGGGATGTATCTTTTAACTCACATTAGGAATTTAAGTTTGACTTGTGAAATTACTCCTAGTAGTGTGAAACTAAGTATGACTCGAGTAAAGAATGGACTATTGAAGGAAATTAGAGAAACATAATTATTTGATTCATTTTGATGGCAAGACATGAGACCATAAGACAAGGTAGTAGATATGAGTTTGCCTTGGGTATAGATAGGGTGGTAAGACTTAGAGATTGATTATACGTACCTAGTAAACTTACGATTAAGTACTTGATCCTTGGAGAGGGTCATAAAAATTAAAGTAATATGGTGACAAATGCCTTAAGTAGGATGATCATTCATCTATCATTTTTTATGATGTAAGGGTTGAATTTGATTGAGGAGATTAGAAACTTAAGCATGATGTGTGAGCTCACCCTTAGGAGCATTGAATTGAGTATGTTGAAAGGACTAATAGATTAATGGATGTGATTAGAGTACCCAGGAGTTAAATCCTTTCTTAGTAAGCCAAGTGGAAAAGATTGGTAGAGGCATAGATAGCCCTTTACGCTTGGAAGTTGATGGTGTTTTGAGGTTCAAAGATAGAATCTATGTGCCTAATAATCTCGAATTAAGGAAGATGATCTTAAAGGAAGGGCATAAAAGTACTTTTAGTATTCATTTAGGAGATATTGAAATGTATCAGAGATATTGAAATGTATCAGAGTGGCGCAGCGGAAGCGTGGCCTAAGGAGAAAAAAGAAGTAGAGGAATTTGTATACTAGTATATAGTATACCAAAAGTCTAAGGTGAAACACTAGAGTCTTTTAATATTTTTACAGTCTTTAGACGTCCTAATTTGGAAATAAGATTCTGTATCTATGAACTTAGTTGTAGTTATATCTGATATGCTTAAGAAATTTGATCTTATTTGGATTATAATGGATAGGTTCGTTAAGTTTGCTCACGTTGTACTTATTAATATTAGATATTCCTTGGAAAGATTGATAGAGTTGTACATCAATAAGGTAGTGAGGTTACATGAGGATTAGAAAGCAAGATGCGAGGAGCATACTCATTTTTATTTTCAAGAAAATTTCGGGGACGAAATTTCTAAAAGGAAGGGAGAATTATAACATCCCAAATTTTATACAATGGTTAATTATTATTTTCCTATAGTTATTAATTAATAAAAATGGGTCTTTTTAAGTAGAATATTTTAGAGATTTTAATACTTGATTATTATGTATTCTAAATATTTATGGGGATTATTAAAGGGATTTTATAATTAAAAATAATAAAATAATATTATGGTATTTTGAAGGCTCAGAACGGGCCGTTCCCAAAAGTGGAACGGGCCGTTCCAAATTTTCAAAGAGAGTTGTGTTTGTTGGCCCAGAATAGGCCGTTTCAAAAGTTGAACGGGATGTTCTAAATTGGTAAAGAGACCAATTTGGGTTATTCCAGAACAGACCGTTCCCAAAGAGAAATGGGTCGTTCCAAGATTCTAAAAATGCCTAAAAACCTTAGTTGGAAACGAGTCGTTCTAATTATGGTCAATGTATGTTAAATTGAATCCCAGAATGGGCCGTTCTAATTTTAGAACGGGCCGTTCTGATTGGTGAAAACGGGCCGTTTTGATTTTAGAACGGGACATTTTAGTTGTAAATTTTGCATATAACGAATGACTCCAGAATGGGCCATTCCGAATTCAGAACGGGCCGTTCCGGGTACCCCTGAATGCCTATAAATGGGAGGCATGGGCTTTGAAAAATTATATCAGCTAGAGGTGAAAACTTAGAAAGAGAGAGAGAGAAAGAGAAAGAGAGAGAGAGAAAGAGGGAAAGAGAGAAAAAAAA